CCCCCCCGGCATTTCCTTTTATTTGCCTTTATAAGAAGACCAAGACTTTTGGGGCAACTTCCGGAGGTCCTGAAGGGGCTGTTCAGCCTTAGGGCCCCACAGGTTTCTCAGCTGCTTTGCTGCCCTGAACTTAGCACTTGGCTGGCCAGCCCTTCTGGGTGTTGGTGTGCCCATCCAGCAGCAGTGAAGCAGGGCAAATCAGCCCTTGTGCCATCTCTGCATCCAGCCCCAGCCTCCTGCCACCGCCAGGACCTCCCTCCAGCTTCTCTTGCCAGCCGGCTGAGTGGTAGGATCCCCCTGGCCCTTTGACAGCTCCGAGCCCTCCGGGATACGAGAGCAGCTGCCACGGCTTCCATCCACCAAGCGTCGCCAACAGGGCAGCCTCTGAAACAGCGGCCGGAGGAGGCTCCACAATTAACCTTCCTTCCCTCTTTCCCTCCCTCCTTCCTTCCCTCCCTCTTTCCCTCCCTCCTTCCTTCCCTCCCTCTTTCCCTCCCTCCTTCCCTCCCTCCCTCTTTCCCTCCCTCCTTCGCTCCTTCCCTCCCTCTCTCTTTCCCTCCTTCCTTCCCTCCCTCCTTCCCTCCCTCTTTCCCTCCCTCCTTCCCTCCCTCTTTCCCTCCCTCCTTCCCTCCCTCCTTCCCTCCCTCCCTCTTTTCCTCCCTCCTTCCCTCCCTCAGGTCTCCCATGATTTTGCCATTAACTTCAGTGCTGAGGACGATGAGTGTGAAGGTGAGGACACAGGGGGCTTCTGCTCCTTCTGGGTGGCATTTTCCCTGGTGCTTCTCCTGCCTTTGCCAGGCCAAAAGGCCGCTGGCACCTGTGGCTGGGGGAGCACATCTCCTCTCCAGCCCTGCCCCTTCTGGACTGAGGGAAGGAGGGGCCTTTGCAGAAGGGCCCCCCAATCTCTGCCTGGGGGCTTTCCCCTCTGCTCTTGGCTTCAAAGGTTCTCTTCACTTGGAAAGAGGCCCCCTGCCCCCCCCCAGCAGGGCCCACTGAATCTCCCCCCCTTCTCCCTAGGCATCCAGGGGGTGGTGGAGTCTTACCAGAGTTGCTTGCCCAAGATCCAGCTCTACGGCCCAACCAACGTGGCCCCCATCATCTCCAAAGTGGCCAAAGTAGCCGCCAATGAAGAAAAGACGCAGGAGGCTTCGGTGAGTGTGTGGGAATCGGCAGAGACATTCCGGGTGACGGTTGGGGGCTGCGTCTCCTCTGGCCTTCGGGTGCCCACGTTTGCTGGAGATTAAGCTCTGTTGCCAAACCTCCAACCAGCAAGTTCTCCCTCCGTTGGGCCGAAAAGTAGATGCCAGGCAGGCAGGGCTGTGGCAGTGGGTGGGTGGGTGGGCTCCTTGCCTCCTTAGGTGGAAACATTGGATGGAGCGGGAAGGCTAAAGAAAACCGAGGGCCCCCCGGCTTCCTTCCAGAGGTTTCATGACCCAAACTGGGTAAGAGAACTGATGAGGATCCCTAGTTGGGTCTTGAAACGCCTGCAAGGAAATGGGAGCTCTGAGAGGCCCAAAGACCCCCTGAGGTTTCCACCCTCAGCCTCAGAGACTCTCCTTGAGTGGTTTGAGCAAATGTCTCCCCCTGTTATTGACAGGTGCCAGGTGGGCGAGGACCAGGGCGAGGCTTCTCATCCTGCTCATGGCAGCTCTTGGCAGGATCACTAAGTGGCTGGAAGCTTTGCTGCCAGTCTTATCAATTAATGGTGGCAACTGATGGGTCCGTCCGCACGGCCTGGGGGGGGGTGAGTGGGTAGCGGGAGGGAGGGAGGGAGGGAGGGAGGGAGGCTGGGCTCCCAGCAGAGCAGAGAAGGAAGGCCAGGGAGCCCGAGGGGGGAGCAGAAGGAACTCTGTGGAGGTCCAGCCTCCTTGGACCTGTCCGTCACTGTTGGACTTTTGAATCAGCTCAACTGGATTAAGGAAAGCAAATGGAATTATAAAAGAAAAACAGAACCCACGAATTACCTGATCCCCCTGGTGGCATTTAATAAGACGGTTGGCTTTCAATTCCCAAGCTGACTTCAGATGGGAGCGAATTGCTCTGCCATGGAATCCCCAAAGGGAGGCTTTCAGGAGGACCTCCGCCCCCCCCCAGACTCTGGGCCCTGCAACGGGTCAGGGGTTGTGAGAAAGCTCTCGGGCCTTTGCAGGGCCCCCCGTGGAAGGCAGCATCGCTCCAGAGTTGGGCCCACTACCAGGGGTGAAATCCAGCAGGTTCTGGAGAACCGGTAGCCGAAATTTCGAGTAGTTTGGAGAACCGGCAAATGCCCCCTGGGGGGGGGGGGAGGAAATGGAGATTTTGCAGTATCCTTCCCCTGCCACGCCCACCAAGCCACACCCACAGAACCGGTAGCAAAAAAAAAATTCATTTCACCACTGCCCACTCCGGCTGGTGCCAACTGGGGCTGTGCCTCTGGTGCTCTCCCAAGACTGTAGCCCTTGACACATGCCCAGGAACCCTGCAGCCCTTGCCCGAGGATACCCAGAGAGAGAGAGAGGCATTCCTCTGCCAAGAAGAAGAGGTTCCCCTCTCTGGCAGATCCCCCCTCCCCCCTCATTATCTTGGAGGAGGAAGCGCTGGGGGGAGGGGGCCTCCCAAATTCCAGAATGAGGGAGGGGCTGCCCCCCTTCTGTGTGCCAACAAGGTCAGTCATTTAATAAAATTCTAAATTGGCTGCGAGGCTCATCCAAGGGGAAGAATTTGGGGGATTTTTGTCTGCACCCCCGACTGTCCCCCACGAGGTTCCTTCCGCCTCCCTCCTGCTCACTTCCTGCCCCTCCCCCGCTTTCCCCAGCAATACTACATCCTGCTGATCCTGACCGACGGGGTGGTGACCGACATGGCAGACACGCGGGAAGCCATCGTCCGGGCCTCCTATCTGCCCATGTCCATCATCATTGTGGGGGTGGGCAATGCCGACTTCACCGACATGCAGATCCTGGACGGGGACGATGGGATCCTTCGCTCCCCCAAAGGAGAGCCGGTCATGCGGGATATCGTGCAGTTCGTCCCCTTCCGAGACTTCAAGAATGTAAGTCCCCCCCCCCTCAGGCAAGACGCCCCCCCCCCCCAAATCTGGCTGCTCCTCCCTGATTCTGCAGCCATGGGCACCTCCAGCATGAAGAAAGGTTGCCTTGGATCCACTGGGTTGCAGGTTGCCCCAGGGATCCACTTGGGAACAGTTCATTTCCCCAGGCCCCTCTTGGCCTTCCCGCTCCCTCTTCCCTTCTCTCCTGGTGCTGCCAGGACCCTGGCTCCAGCCTCCCCCTCCCCCCAGGGCTACCCTGCCCCCCCCAGCAGAGCTGAGCGGGGGCGCCTTGATGATGGGCCCTAGCTGAATGGGGTCCAGGCAGCCTGGAAGGGCTCTGCCCCCCCCAAAAGGATCTGGAAAACGGGGGGTGCAAACTGCTCTCCAGAGGTTTTCCAGCTGCTGCTCACCCTCCAGGAAAGGAGCATCCTTGCGCTTCAGATGTGCCCCTTATGGGCCTTTATGTGTCCTAGGGGGGCCCTGTGGGGGTTTTCCTTGGGCATCTTTTCCTGCTTTCACTGGCGACTGAAATCTCTTGCCTTCTCCCAGCCCTTTCGCTGAGCAAAGCCGCTAGAATGAGCACCAGGCCCTGCCAGCTGACCTCTCGGCCTCCTTTGTCTTCCAGGCTTCGCCCACCGCGCTGGCCAAGTGTGTTCTGGCAGAGGTGCCCAAGCAGGTGGTCGAATATTACAGCTCCAAGGCCTTGCCCCCCCGCGGCCCCAAAGGGAGCACCCCCGGCTCTGCTTTGAACTCACCGCAGTGACCCTGCAGCGACCCCACCGGCCACCCTGCGTCTGTCTCCCCTCCTTGTGCTGGTCCTCCAGAAAGCAAGACCCACCGAGAGCTTCTCTGTCCACCGCCAGAGCAGGACGTCTCCTGCCCCCTCACCCCCCAGCTGTTTGGGCCCCAGGACAGCGAAATTGTGCAAGAGGCCAGCGAGTCCAGGAAGGGGCCTGAGATGGGGGGGGGCGAATGGGGACAGAGAGTGGGCAGCCGGGCAGCAGGCGCTCCAAGTTAGGCAAAGCCAAAGAGGCTGCAGGATTGCGAAGGAAAGAGAGAGGAAGGCCGAGAGGGGAAGTGGGCACCCTTTGCCCCTCATCATTGGCATCCAGATACATCCAGAAGGGCCCAGGAAGCTCCTCTTTGCCCCCCCCCCCTTTGGTCTCCCTCAGGCAGGGGAATAAACTTCCATATGTTTTATAGCAAAAAAAACCAACCTTTTGAAGCTGTTCAAGGGGACAGCAGAACCCCTTCTCTCTGCAACGGAGCCTCTTGGAAATGGTGGGCTACATAGAGCAGGGGCATTCTGGGCAGGGGGGCAGAAAACAGAGGCACCCCGAGAGGCTGAACTTCTCAGGATGAGTCCTGAGCTGCCTTCCACCAAGGAGCCCGGGACCATCTCTGGAGGGTCCCAGCGCTTGGGAATGGAACCGCAGCACCGTCGGCCCTTCCCTCACCGGCCCCTTGGCAGAGTGGGGTGCAGCAGAGAGACCCTTGCCTCCCCTAGCCCCACTCCCTCCTTGTGCAGAGAGGGGTCTGGTGGCGATGAAGCCGCCTCCTGGCGTGGCACAGGGGGCACAGCCTGGTCAAAGGACCGTATTGCAAAGGTCTATTTCACAGCCGCCTCCTGTGCACGAAGCGGTTTGGGTCTGGGGCCCCTTTCCCCCCCCCCTGTGCTCCGTAGTTGTCTTTTGCTGTGACGTGTCGTTTGCTGATGGTTGCATGAGAAATCCTAAATGTAGCCAGAAAGACGGCCAAATAAAAGAGATAAAAAAGAGATCCCTGTTGTCCTTGAAACATCTTGAAACAATCACGGACTGCAAACAGAACCTGCTTTGTCTGAAGTGGGGGAGGGTTTCCTGCCTAGGCAGGGGGTTGGGCTAGAAGACCTCCAGGGTCCCTCCCAACTCTGCTGTTCTTCTTCCTCTAAGAAGCCATTTCTGACTGGAGGCCAGCCTGCCGCATGAGCTGTGGCACCACTTGGTTTGTGCCACGGTTGTGGGGACAAAATGGGCACCTTGGTCCTTTGTGACCAACTCTGAAGTGACAAACCGCCTGCGTGGAAAGAGCCAGACTTCCAGCGGCTTCTCCACGGGCGTTTTGCGGAATGTAAGGACTGGCAAAGAGCACGGAGGTTTTAAGCGGCCACTCCACATGCCAGCCCCACTCAGACGAACAGACCTTCCGTACACTTGCAGGGTGATGCCCAGTGGTGGGTTGAACGCCCCCCTCCCCGCCATCCGGAGGCGCCTCTTCTTGCAGCCGTGACTCCATAAACCTCAGCTTTTCCCAGCTTTTGCGCTGTTCAAAGGCACCGCCTGCCCATCGTCTGGCCGAAGTGTCTGCTTTGGAGAATTCAGGCCAAGTAGCCCAAAGCGAAGGGCAGTTGGGGCTGCTGGCAGAGCTTCGCCTCCAAAACCACAGCGCCAAAGGAAGCCAGAAGGCAGTAAAGCGGAACACGGTGGCGCTTCCAATCTGGAGCAGGGAAAGCCGGATCTGCCCCTCAGGGACAGCGATTCAAGGACTGCAGGCCACAGCTGGAGCACCGCTTCCTTCTCTTGGTCAAACTTGTTGCAAGGGCCGGTTTGGTGTTCTGCGGAAGGAAGCAGGCGACCCTGAGTTCTAGTCCTGCCTTGGGCATTAAACCAGCTGCCTGACCTCAAGCCAGTCCCTCTCTCTTAGCCCCAAGAAGGAGCCAAGGGCAAATCACTTCTGCTAAATCTTGCCAAGAAAACTGCAGGGAGGAATCCAGGCAGCCCCCGAGAATCAGACCTGCCTGGATAGAAGTCTTATTGGGGGGGGGGGTCTTATTGCAACAAGAAACGACCAAGAGGCCTGTGGCACCATAGCAGGAAACAGGCCTTGCAATGTCAACATTTCCCCCCTAAAAGGGGGCTAGGCACAAAGGGCTTGGGGTTGCAAGCGAGGTTGAAAGAGGCTGAGTGGCGGGGAAGCGGAGAGAGCCCCGGGGGCCACCGTTCCTTCCGCAGTCCTGGTACAAACACCCCAGCTTTGCTCTACTAATTTACACCCGCAATGTGATCAGAACTCATTATTGTCATCCAGACCGTTGGCGGCAAAAAGAGCTTCTACATAAATTAAAATCCGGTGGCTTAACGTGACGGTTCTCTTTGAACTTCTTTCATTCCGGAATAGCAGCCGTAGCCGCCTTGTGAGGACGGAGAGTTCCCGCTGCCACATTCAGGAGAGAGAGCTAAATTAACGGGAGGCTGGAGGAGGAGGAGGGGGAGGGGGCGCCATCCAAGGGGTTCTCTTGTGCAGCTAATCAGGCAGAGAAGAGAGCTTCCAAATGTGTTTCTGGAGGATTTTGCAATCCAGCCTCCCTCACGCCTTCCACCAGGGCCTGCTCTGAGCAGTGGCTTCAGCAGGGGGCCTCCCCATTTCCACCTCCTGTCTAGCCTCAATGGGAGCCATGTCAGCCGGCAAATGGTGCACAGATTTCCTTGTACGTTTCTGCTTCTGATCACAGCCGCCCCAGACGCTGCCCAGGAGCTCTGCGAGGAGGGATTCCAATGCAGTCAGCAGTTCAGCGGGATTAACTTCCTACCACACACCATGAATCAAAGGCGAAGCGCTGGAGGCTGTGAGACACTTGGGAACAAAGCATCATCAGGGCCTTTGTGTCCCATTGTAAGGGAATTAAAAATGAGAATAGCTGTGTGTCAGAGGGGGAGAGGGAGGGAGAGGGGGGGAGAGAGGAGGAGGGTCGGGGTGGGGAAAGAAAGACCCCCGTGCCAACATTCTTTCAGCACTGGACAGCATCAGCCGAGCCACTGAGTGAGCTGGGAGTCCGGATCTGGTTTGGGGATGCTTTCAGCACCATGGACAGAGGTTTCTATGACCAAAATGACAGGTGCTCATCTTGGATGTCCAGGCAAAATGTGATCAAAACATGGACTTTTCTATCTCCTGGTTGTGCTCTGTGACCAGTTTGGGGGTGTTTTTTTAAAGAATAGCCAAGCTTTAATAAGCTTTAACCAGCAGGAGAGACATAACATGTTCTGTTGACGCTTTGCCTGGAATCCAACATACATTTTTTCACAACCAGTTTAATACACAGTTATATTCTGAAATGCAGCCTTCCTGCATTTCTCTGGGCACAAATTTGTACAATTTAATCACATAACATGATGCTGTCACGTTAAGCCACCGGATTTTAATACATTCCTCCCATTCACAATCACCCCACTCCTACAAAGCATGTTTGAACACCCCCCCAAGTCTGTCGTAATGCTGGGCATTCAGAAGCACCAGTTCCACAGTGACTGTCCCCCCCACCTGACACCCCCTCCCCAACAAAAGGAGCCAGGCTCTAACCATGGAACGGCTTTATTCAGCAGAGACAAAGTGATTATTTCTGACTGTCAGGATAATTGCTCAAATTGTTCTTGCAATAAATGGGGCTTTGAAGCGAGATGCATTCATGCTGACAAGGATGAAGTTTGATGGGAAAGCACCTGCTGTAGCAAACGGGCTTGCATGAAGCTGAGATTGCCATGTCCTCCTTTCCATTGTCCAAAGGTCTCCTGGTCATCCTGCTGGCCAGCTGCTTCCCCAAAACAGGCCTGGCTCCCCTGGAGGCCCATTCCCCAGAGAACCTCCCGCACGGCCATCTTCCTCAAGGGGGTCCTCGGTTCTTTGGCCCCAGCCTTGCAAGAGGAGCAACCAGGCTAGGAAAGAAGGGCTGCCCGTCAAATAGGTGCCGGAGGGAGGTCAGGTGTGTCTTCCAGGTGATCCCTTACTGCCCCACCCTTCCTTCTCGGGAGCAAAGGCAACCTGATTTTGACATTCCCCATACGAAGAGGTCCAGCCACCTTTTCACTGAGCCTTGGCTAATGTTGGAAAGGGGTCGAGAGGAGGGTCTTCCTCTTGCCCCAATACTTACCTCCCCCCACCCCCTCCCCGATCAATCTGCCACAGATTTCTTATTTTTAGCTCCTGATTCATCTCTGTAGAAAGAGGGATAATGGATGTCACCATAGTAACTCTTGTGCCTGATAGGATTCATGCTGGAGCCCATCCTCTGCCGAGGGCAGATGTTTCTTGACGGAGGAGGAACCGGAGGCCTCCTTGGGTGCTTCTGTCATGGCAGGTGAGCCACCTGGATGGGGAAGAGCCATCGCCATCTCCGGCTCTTCCAAAACTCTCCATCGCGGGTCAGCTGCGAATCCTGAGCTCCCATGACTACTCCTAGCCGGGTGTGCTGACCACAATTATTTATACCAGCACTGATGATGTTACCTGAATCGGGAGGCCCTCACAACAGTCACTCGGGCCCTTGTGACCTCTAGGCTGGACTACTGCAATGCGCTCTACATGGGGCAGCCCTTGAAGAGCATTTGGCGACTTCAGCTAGTCCAAAATGCAGCCGCGCGAGCGATCGTGGGTGCACCTCGGTACACCCACGTTACACCTATCCTCCGCGAGCTGCACTGGCTGCCTGTCGATCTCCGG